TGCCTGCTGCGGCACGTGAGTGCCTGCACATCCTAGCCTGCTGCACGTTTTCCATCACCACAGGGAGAACCGGACGCCACGAGGCTACCACGAGAACATCGGGCAACAACACGGTGAGTCGCTTTTTCGTTTGCTATCTCGCTTTATTCGCCTAATTAAAATTGTGAGGGGATTGCCCCTCTGGTCCTTCGAACCACGAAATCTCATTGACCGATCGCAAATCCGGGGCGATTGACCCCCCCCCCCCCCGAGCATTACGTTTTTCTTTAAAGCCGAGAATACTTTATTTCGCGAGAAAGTCGTTGCTTTACCAAAACACAACATTTAAAGCAGTAAATTGTTGATAAATTGAAGTCTTTTTGTTAAAGCAAAGAATACTTTATTTTACAAAAAAATCGCTGCTTTACCAAAACACAACATTTAAAGCAGTAAATCGTTGATCACTAACCTACATAGGTTAGTTGACGCGCTTTAAAAGTATTTAAGTGTTTAAAACGCGTCAACTAACTTATATATGCACCTATATATGCTATATTTTTCAAACTTTTTTTGTTAATAACTTTTTAACGAATAGCGAGCGACGGCTAAAACCTTCTGAAGGTCACTCGGGGTCATAACCTTGACAACATATATCAAGATCATTGAAATCGGTGAGGTCGCCAAACTTTTTTTGTTAATAACTTTTTAATGAAAAACGAGCGACGGCTAAAACCTTCTGAAGATCACTCAGGAGGGTGACCTTGACAACATATGTCAAGATCAAGGTCATCGGAGGTGCTTCCCCTAAACTGCATAATTACCGAAATTTTACTTTCGACCTGCGAAAACACGTTTGCTTCGATAAGAATCACAACATGGCACGTAACCTCACTAAACTCCGTGAGTGGTCACGTGGGCACCGTAAGCCACGCTTACAGTATTAATGGCGAGTTCACACAACATACAGATTTCGAGATAATTGCAAAAACGACTCCGCCCCGGGGCCGACTTCGCCCCGGTCTCCCTTATTTATTTATATATTTATATATTTATTCAACACTTGAAGTTACATCCTTACTATTACACTCAGCCGATCAGTAGTACTGCTTTAGACGAGAATACTCGCGCGACTATATCGCCCGTCAGACGCTTTGGAAGAGTTAACTCGTTTGTTAAGGAAACTAGTCAAACTCACAGAAGTCAAGTCGTAAGCATTGTAATGTTGCCGTTTGTGTTGTTTCATGCTTTCAAATTTATCTCACAGAAAAACAATTCAAATAAATTAGTATTTTTTCTTTATGCATTTTTTTACTTCTCCTCTCACCTCAAATATTAATATAAAATAAAACATTAGTTGCTGTTGATTAAACAATCTTGATTTTTAGTTATAGGTATTTATAGTCAAATTATGAAGACTTGCTTGACAAACTTGAGGCCCAAGTTAACTCCAAAGCATCTGACGAGCAATATCATCGCGCTAGTATTCTTGTCCAAAGCGTCTGACGGGCGATATAGTCGCGCGAGTAATCTCGTCCAAAACAGTTAAAGGGTTAATATTATAAACGCTCTATTTCTGTAATTAAAGGTGATCGATTGGGAGAAATTATTATTAATATTAATATAGTAATTTGATTTACGTATATGTTTACAAAATTTTATATCAATCATGAAAAAAATAAATATAAGTATTATTAAATATAAATAATAAAATTGTTAATAATAATATAAGCACGTTAAACATTATAAAAAAAACGTATATACAGTGGATGAAAAAGTATTTGCATACCCAGTTTGTTACAATAACTTTATTCGAAGGCATAATACATAAGTATGAATTGTTTCCATAAGTAATTTATTACATACAGTATATGTAATAAGTTACCCACATAGCAAAATATATCACCAAGATATCTGGAAGATATCTAAATAATAGAATATCTGATTGTGCAACACTTGTCGAGATATCATGAGAATATCTCAGAGACATCTCCAAGATTATAAAAAGCCATGATAATTTTATCTCAGATATCATATCTGATTCTGCATATATATCGAATATCTGTATTTCATTTAAAAGCAGATATGTTATATACAACCCAAATAGCAAGAAAAAAAGAAGAATTCTTTTTAAATTCTCGATTACTGAAATTAATTCTCTTTCCGTATTTATTCTCTATAGATTCTAAAATGATTCTTAAAAGTTAAAAAAAATTCATTTTTATATCACCAATTCTGAGCTCTTCTTCAGATGTAAAAGAAGTTCTTTTCATAAGAATTCGCAATAAATTCAAAATTATGCTTCGATACTATTCCAATATTTTGCATTTTGCCATCTCTGTATGATATCTCGGAGGTATCACGAAAAATATTAGAGCCAAGTATCTCAGATGCTCGCTTTTTATTCTAGCGCGTAAGGATTTTTGCTTACAAGAAGGTAATGGCGCATGTAGCCGCGTTGCGGCAGCGCATGTCACTAGCGCTTGCCCGAGTGATTTTCTAAATTCCCTCGCGGCGTGTTGCTTTCGCGCCACGGTCGTTACCTTTGGCGCCGTCCAAGTGAAAATTTTTCAATTTTTTTCGCGGCGTGTGGCTTTCGCCGGGACGAATCGGTACGGCGTTCAAGTCCTCTCGGATTGTTTATTGGCTACGAATAAACTTGAGTTGATTTTTATAAAATATAAGAACTGTAAATCGGCCATATATTTGAATGCAAATGTTGCAGAGATGTCTTTTTCTTTTGCAAATATTCTGTGAATATCTGACAATAAGATATCTCAGATTTGACTTAAAATTGTAGGCATAAAGATATCTGGCTATATCTCAGATATATTTTGCTGTATGGGTACTTATATGGACACAATTCGTAATTATGTATTATTCGCATAAAGTTATTGTAAGAAAACTGGGTGTGCAAATACTTTTTTGATCCAATGTATATATTAAGTATTTGTAGACAAAGCGTATTATAAAGGGCTTCTTTCTTGTATATTTTATCATAGAATATATTATCGCAAAAGTTTGTGCACAACACAACAAAAAAAGAATAGATTTGTAATAAACAATAAGAACAATTAATTTGAAAAAATAAAATATGAAAAAATTAAAAATATTTTTAAAAATATATATATTTACCACAATATTTGTTACACATTGTTATCTCAATTATCCTTTATGTTGTTTATGTTTCAGGCGCCAAATGGCATTCACGACGAAAGATATTAACCCCCACATTTCATTTTAATATATTGCAGCAGTTTGTTGAGATTTTGATCGAAGAAGGTAAAAACATGGCCAAGTCTTTGAAAAATACAGGAGGGACAGTTGTAAAAGATTTAGTACCGTTTGTTAGTGAACATACGCTGAATGCAATATGTGGTATGATGTATTCATAAGTTATGAATCATAACTATATATTTTAAACTATATATTTTAACTGTAAATTTTATTGCCAGTGACAAATAATATTAGGTTAAAATCAATTTTTTTTTCAAGTTATAAATATCAATATCCAACACACTAATACTTACATAATTTTTGCAACCACAGATATTCTTGAAATATATGTATATGACAATATTATCATAATATCTTTACAAATGTGTTTGCAGAAACTTCTATGGGCACTTCTCTACGAGGCCTTGGTGCGTTCCAGCATCGGTATCGAGAAGCAGTTTATCGCATGGGCGAACTTTTTATTTATAGGTAATGTATGTACATATAAGTGTAATAAGTAACTACATACATATATTCTGTTTTAAGATACAAATTCATATAATAATAATAATAATAATAATAATAATAATAATAATAATAATAAT